CTAAAAACCTTCCTCTCTGGTATCTCTAGACTCGTGGTTGCATGAGTTAAAAGGACACAATGGGGAAGCAATTAATAATGCAAATGTTATTGATCTCTGTGGCTAGCACCTTCCAAAGAAAGTGGGAAAGGTGGGGGAAGGACGTGAATTGCTCCAACGGCCCCTTTGCCAAGTCAATTTCTGTCAATTTCACATCCTCTATCCATCATGGTTTTGTTACGCCACACACACATACACTTTAACTGAGACATAAGACAAAGAGACTGAGGTTTGATGGCTGCTCTGCTCCCTGGACTCGCTATGCTTTGCCTCAGTTTGACCCATTACTTTATGCCTGATGCTCCGTACATTTTTGGCAAATAAATCAAACCTTGTGAGGTTCGGTGAGTTCCATGTGCCGTTAAAAAGAGGCCACTGTCCCCACAAGGATGTTTTTGGCAAACCTCTTGTTTTCCAACAGAGAGAGAAGCCGTGTGCCATTTTTGTCACGGTGAAATCAATTGGAAGCGATGCAACAAAATGCCTTGATTTAGGTTGTTGCTTATTTGGCAAACACGTGGAAAATGATTTCTCTGAAACACCTTTTTGTGTAAAGGCAACCCCCAGTTATAACTCGCTGTAGGCCTGGGTACCAGGAGAAACTTCCTTCCCTTTTCAAGTAATATCATTTATTTATTTAGCGCCCACCTGAAAAGACAGGTGGGACTTTTGTTTAACATCTCAGTCAAAGGACAGCAACCACGACAATGCAGCATTCCCCCAGCACCACACTGGGGTGTCAGCCAAGACCAGAAGCCCAAAATCCTTGACACGGGTTTGAACCTGAACCCATAATTTTCTGGCCCGCGGGCAAAACTGGGCCAGGTCAGGCTGACTTGTAAAAAAAAATATTAGATGAATGTAAAATGCCATTATTGAGAATGGAATAAATCACTCTGAGGCCCCGATGGGCTCTTTTTCAAAGAAGCTTTTTCAGAATCAATCAGACGCTTCTCTCTCTCTCTCTCTCTCTGATAACCTCACTAAAGCCATTTTAGCTGATGTAGGTGTCTCGTTGGTTGTGTCTGAATCTGTACACTTGACAAGAATGTTAGTGAGAACACAGCAGTCTTAAAATGCACGGCAAGTCTGTTCTTTCATTGTAACATTTTATCTTATCGCAGTGTACGCTTTGTGTGTGTGTCTATGTGTGTGTGTGTATGAAAAAACAAAAGCAACAAGCACGCACAACCTTCAAGAAAGTATTTCGTTTTGTTCTGTTTCATGTATGCGACACGTCAGCAAGTAACAGCCGGAAGGAACGATTGAGACACGTAAAACCTGCGTCGGTTCCAGGAATCGGGAGTTTGCACCATGCTCCAAGCTTTTGAAAAAGAGATCTTTCTGCCTCCTCTCGCCCTGGGCGAGAAACACTTTGTCTTAAAATTTAAGATAACACAAAATTAGGAGGGGAAACATCTTCCAACTCAGCGTCGAGTTATAAGCTGTTTCAACTCAGTCCTGAAAAAAAGCCAGCTTCCTGATTGAAGACTGCTCCCCAATTCAGTTAAATCTTAAATCTTAAGGCAAAATGGTCTTACTGGTTAGAAGTCGGTAGAATTCTGAGCCACTTATCTACTTGATTTAATATATTTTAGATCAAGGTGCAAGGTGGATCTGGACTATATCATGACATTTTTTTTCACGCCGATGTGACTTAAATGCCACTTTATCGCACTAAAACCATGAGTTTCGGTTCTGTTGGCTGGGAAATGTTTAGGTAATTAATCTTGAGAGTTTTCGTGATGTTAAAACTGTAAATTCAAAAGAGAGAGTCATACCGTTTGAGACTTGATTCCTTTAAGAACATATTTTTTCCCTTTCTGGTAGCACTCTATAAAGCTTACCGTCAATATTTACAACCGCAGAGCAATTCTGTAGCAGGAAAAATAAATAAATAAACAAATATCACTAAATATTCCTGCAGCCCCTCACTTCAGCCAAACGCATAGTGAAGAAAAGGCTTTTCACAAAGATGTTGGGAGACATCAGCGATAAAAACTCTTTATCGGAGTATACAGTGTATTGTAAGAGCATTAAAGCAGTTTGGCGCCAACAGAAAATGTATAACATTTTTTGAAGGGTTTCCCCAAGAGTGAAGGAAAAAAGGCAAGTTTATTGCTGAAACGTCTCGCTTAGTTAGTTAGTTAGCTAGCTAGCTAGCTAGCTAGCTAGTTAGTTAGTTAGCTAGCTAGTTAGCTAGCTAGTTAGCTAGCTAGCCTTGGCCGGATCGGTTGTGAGAGTAACTGGGTCACGGCAAAGAAAAATTCTCTCCTCACAGATCCTCGTAAGATCATTGCGTTTTCAGTCTGACGTCCATTGCGGCAATTCATTTTGCTTTGTCCAGAGTCTTAATACCGGGGGCTTTGTTTATTCCAATCCAGCGATTGGACATCTCTCTCCCTGCGACTGTTTACAAAATAACTGAGGAATTCTGAGCGCACCCACTCCTTTGTAGAGCTGAACTAATACCTTGTGCCGTTGCCAACAAGCAATCTGATGACTAAATGGTGTCAACCCCCCCTACCCCAACCACACTCTTCCCTAGACCACATGTAAGGAATGACATAATTCATGACAAAAGCAATTGCGGAAAGATAGCTTAGCTTTTTTTTATATGCTTATCAACGCAAAAATAAAATAGGGAGATTAAAACCTCAGCTCATTTTTGAAATGATACCAAAAAAATTAACTTGGTACTTTTTATAGTTATTTACAGTTGTGGCGTAAAAATTTCTGTCGACTAAGCGGAATTGCTTTGGTTGTTTTGAGGTTTCTGTGGCAGAGGAGACCCACTTCTAGTTTCTCGAACTGTTGCGATTAATATTCTGGAGTTTGAGGGGTAGAGATTAATGAACAAATAATTCTCGTGTCAGATCAATTCTGTCGTCGTTATTCTGATTTGCTGATAATCATTTCGGTGCGATTCGTGTTAATGCGGGTGATGGCAAAGCTTGTTAAAAGAATACAATGACACTTAGCACCATTTTGCTAGCTGGCTCGCAGTTACTGAACACTGTGAGGCGAGGGGCAGGCTTAGTAGTTTCTGCCCTTTGCTTCGAGGAGAGAATCTTGACAGAGGCCCTTGTAAAGCTGAAATTTGTATTTATGAAGAGAACAATATTTACTGTCAACTAGGTCTTGTAGGTTGGGAAAGAATTGTTGCCCTTTGAGGGTGATATATGTTCCACTACTGCCCCAACACTGAGACATGACTTCATTGCTTGTTTAGCTTGTGCTGATATTGGTGAGCGCTGTAGCCAGTGATTAATCATTTATCGTTCTTTTCTCTGAAATATTTGAATCACACTGCAATAGGAGCGTTCACGTGTCATTCAGAAGAGAAAGCCACGGACAAGCAAAAGGCCTTAAAAGGCATGTGTTTTACGGAATAAAAGCCTTTTAATGCTTGTCCAGCCTTAGATAATTTTATTCACTCCTTCGAGACCTCTCTTTATTTCTCTTGCACCCAGAGACCAGTTTTTAGGGGTGGGTTGATAGCTTCCCAGGGCTCGGGCCTTTTGTTGTAGCCTGAGACAAATATATCCAGTGAAGCCTTGAACCCTTGTGCTATAAAGAATCTTCTGCATGTTGCTAAGAAATGGTTAAACTGCTCTCGCAAAAGAAGGGCACAGTCAATTGTGCCAAGGTATATCTGGACCACACAGCTAGAGTGAAGACCAATATCCCTTTCTAAAAAAAAATTCATTTATTTCGAAGGGCATTACCCAGCCTGAACTTGCCTAAACCCTTGTGGTCACACCTCTTGAAAAGGTTTTGTCTCACACGTCAATTGGTATTCAAACCAGGTCAGCGTTTCTGTTTGCCCAACTTTGCTGCCGTTTTCATTTTAATTTGCACCTGTTCTGCAGTTGTTCAGAAGGCAAGTGCAGACCCGCGGATTATACAAAGATCATATTATGAGCAGATATGCACAGTGTAATCTTTTTTGTCTCGGCCCAACATATGTGGAAAAAAAAATCGTCCTTGTTAAATTTTTTTTTAAAAAAACTCACACACAAGACCCTATTCCAGACACTGTGTGCAAGACGGAAATACAACGGCCTTTTGGAAAAGCGGAGTTGTAAATAGAAATGATTTCAATGTTTCATGAATTCTCGAGACGGGGGATTTTAAACCTGAAACGAGCACAATTCTGTTTCTCCCATTCCCGTATAATCTGATAGCTGGTGGGAGCCACATGAGATGGTTTCACTTGATAACCAAATAAAGAATTTCTTTATTGAGAGCTCAGGAATCAAAACAAGTTTGAAAACTGTTTGAAGTGCATTAGGATCTGGGTTTATTTTCTGCTCTCTCCCTGTTCCCAAGTTTCTTGTGAGCTTGGTTACAAAGTTTTTTGGCAGTGTTGCGTTAGTAACTGATGGTCTGTGTCTGTAGGTAAGCTAATGTCCCTATATTTATTGCTCTAATCTTTCTTGTCTCTTGGTAAAGTGGACAATTTATGTACTACCATGCGCACATGGAATGACTTGGGAAGACAGACTAATGTAGAAGGAACCACCTTCAATTCAGCTCAAAGAGCTTATTTATAAACTGTCTATTTTAAGAAATGGTTTAGTGTGCGTGTGTCTGTGTGTGTGTGTGTGCGCACATATAATAATAATAATCCTTGCATTTGATATAGCGCCTTATCACGTCTTCAAGACGTCTCAAAGCGCTTCACAGAATATACTGTAAAGTGAATTGACTGTGTATTTTTGGGGGCAATATCAGGATTTGTACAGCAAATTACATCGGTTTAGTTTAGTTGTTAAGATCAGTCGTTTAAAGCTGTCTTGTATAAGTTTTACCAATGGGCTCAAGAATTTGGTATTTCAGGGTTTGGAAGAATTAGGCTTTTCATTCAATGAAGTGATCGTTGCTCTTTTGGCTTAACGCAAAGAGTGGACATTTTTACCAAACTGAATCCTCTTGTATTTCTCTCTTGTTTCTCACAGTGTTGAACTATGAGAATGTAGTGGAAACGGGTTCAGAAACAGATGATGAGGACAAGCTCCACATTGCGGAAGATGAAAATAGTATCATCAATGCCTTGGACAAGGATTCCAGTCCGGTGACTATGGCCAATCATGATTCTTCCCCCCGTGGGAGCCAAGCAGTATTACCAAGAGAGGATGAGGAAGGTGAGAAGAGGGATAGCGGTACAGAACACACCTGGCATAACAGAGAGGCAATAGATGGAAATGGTAAGTCTTAACTTCTAGTCCTGCTTGTAGTGTTTTCAACCTAGAGAGATTACAATAAAGTAGTGTTTTGTCTTCCGTGATATTCCACACCTTATTCAATCTAATGGACTGGGTACTAAGAGAAATGTGTAACAGATGTTGCATGTGAAATATCCGTTGGGTTATCCTTTGTGAGTCCCTTCAAAAGCCAGTGTAATTCCGTGAACACCATTGGCAACTAAGCATTCCATTAGCGACCGGAAGTAAAGTTGAACCATGCAGACATTGAGGGTAGGATTCCTTGCCAACTCCAGTTTGGATTCCCAGATCTGAGTTAACTGGTCTCAGGCAGTAAGGATATTACAAACTAGCCTTAGCACCCTGGGCTAGGCAGAAGTGATTACTGTCTAACGACTCCTGCTGGAAAGTATTCCTGGCTTGAGGGCAGACAGGGTCAGGCTAGATTGTGAAGCCCTTCCACCTGAATTTCACCTTCCAGCCAATTGCGTACAGCAGTCTCCCAGAAACAGTCGTGGATTATTATTATTATAAATTATTATAATTTATTTTATTTTGACACTAGAGTTTGGGGTTTTAGTGAAACAATGTCAAAAATTCTTCATTGCTAATTCCTGGCTATACCAGATGCCGAAATGAGCGATGCAGAATGCAAGCCAGTGCCATCTCTTTTACAGAAAGCTTCCAGAGAGAGAGAGAAAGAGAGTAAGAAAACCCTCCTTAAATGTAATGCATTTGCAAATGTGATTTTTTTCGGATCATACTTTATTTAATACCAAGCATTTAGAAGCACCACCTTTCTTTCTGGGACCCTGCAGCTTTAATATTGACTTTCATTTGTTAAATGTCTGTGATTTTATTGTTAAGGTCATTGTTGACGTGTGTCTGCTTCAAGTATTCTGCATTCACAGAATGTCACACTAATAATCACACTTCAAGTAAAAGAGTAGCCCAAACCGAAATATCGGGTAACGCTACTCTAGAAGCGTTTTCTTCAAATCTAAGGCACCGTCCACTCCATTTGTGTATCTATCTGTCTGCTGAATGCACCATTTGAAGCTACGATGTCTCATCAAGATTTTTTTTTGTGTGTGACAATTTGCTGCGAGTTTTACGATTCATTGCAGCAAAAAAGCTTACTCTGTAAGTGCAGATTTGACAAAGAAACCAAAGCCAGTCACTTGGAGAGGGAACCTCACCATTGCTGTAACTTCCGAAATATATGTTCCATCCCTGCCCTCATACTGAGAAGTGATTGCTTCATTTGTACTGGTGTACATAAGACTGATCAGCAGAATGGGCAGATAGGTGGCAGACGCAGTTTAATATTGATAAGTGGCGTTCTGGGTGTTGTGTGGACTCCATTCATTGTGTATGTGCGTAGCCTCAGTGCCAGCTGGCTCTTGAGCTCAAATAGATGATTTCCGGGTATTAGATTACGATTGATATTCACAGCTAATAATAATACAATTAATCCTTGCACTATGATGTAGCATCTTTCACTTTTGGAGGATGTCCCAGGATTTACTGTGAAGTGTAGCAACTGTGTATTTTGTAGGCGAACCTGGCAGCCAATTTGCACACAACAATGTCCCACAAACAGCCGTGAAGTGACTGATCAATTTTATCTGGAGGGATTGTTGGCCAGAACACCGGGAGAAACTCCCTTTGTTTAGCTGTTTGAGTGCACGTTGCAGTATCAGGGCAGCTGGAGGAGAGATGACTGCAGCAGAATTAATTCCCCCACATCACTGCATTTTGTTTGATGCCAAACAAATCTGTTTCATCAGACATTTACTACCCAGGATTGCAGCAGAATCTGACTCACAAACTCCACTGAAGTCTCAATGCAAAATAGATCAGTTTCGTAACTAATGTGAACCTGGAGGATCGTCTGCATGTAGGAAAGTTATTGATAGAGACACAGGTCTTGTGACAACACCCAACTTCTGCTCCAAAAACATAGTTCTGTCTTGGCTTCCACGGCACTTTTCTGCTGTAGTAAACACACTGAGGTTCGCCAACGCAAGCAAATGTTTTGTTCTCTATTTCTCATGAACAGTAGGTTTGCTTGCATCAGCAAACAGTTTATGTTTGCAATACCTGGTGTAACTGGTGTCTGGTAAGGTAATTTTCCTATTTCATTCCCTTGATCAGAATTTGGTAAAATACCCTAGTGCAGGACACTTGAATTGTTAACAAAGCCCGTTTAATTGTGCTTCCCGTATAACTTTATTTAGAGCAGGGCAAAATCAGCCATACGCTTAAGATTGCAATACTGGATATAAGCTTCTGCTGTTCAATGGTTAACTCATCAACATGATCCTCCTGCAGTATTTCATGTCGTGATTTAAAGCCCTGAATGATGTGTTTGCTTTTGGCAATTGAATAATCAACAACCACACAAAGTTTCATTCTTTCACTTAAAAAAAACACCTTTTCATTTATTTCTTTTCAGTGAAAAGTTGTCACGATTCTATTTGTGACAACTTAACAAAGTTTTGATCATTTAAAGGTTAAACCGTAATAGAGAAATAACTGAGTCATAGGTAATAGAATGATAAGCACCTTTAATTAGGGCGGAAGCTGATTGTTAAAGGAAATGCACCTCCTACAGACAATTCTGCCATCCTTAAACATAATCTTTCATACTGAAGCCTGCTTACTTGCATGATGGAAATCAGTGGTTCCCAGCCGCAATGAGAATGCAAAGGGCTGATAACAAGATATGTTGACTGTACTGGTTAAAAGTTCCCGCCTGGCAGTTGAAGCTTCGAGTGAGGTAGGAGACTATGGGTTGCAGGATATAGTCTTGGGTCTCTGTTTATTGGTACATTTAGCACTGAGCTTCACTAGTGTGAAATGGTTCAACCCTTTTCTGCACATGTATGTCGTGCAGAAAAGCATGTTGAATATGGTGGGGGTATTTCCAGGCAGTAAGACTCAGCAAATGTTCAGATGATCTAGATAAATCCCCTATACAGCTTATGCATCTGTGTGAACCCCTTCACACGTCGCTGCCTCTACAAACGACACGCTAGGCTTTCCGCTGGGTGATAGTTACCGAATTTTCGGATGTGCTCATCATGGGGTAGAAATTACACCTGGGTCGAGATTTTCTGTCCTTTCTTGTTATTTCAGAGTGTGCTGGGATTTGGCAAATTGTTGAATTCAGCCACGACATTCAAGTCTTCTGTTGTAGCACTTTTTTTAAAAAAAATTATGCAACGGAAAGACTGCATTTAAGAATTTGTTAAATTTTGCAGGCTCTGAAATGCTGAGAAAATACAATATTACAACAAAAATAATAAAGAACAACTTGGTTTACATAGTACCCTTCACAAAGAATAATATCTTAGAGTGCTTATTAGAGATGATGCTAGACACCAAGATGGGTGAGAGGAGAAAGGGGGCTGTGGGTTTAGGGTGTCTTTTGAGAGAGGCTGAGGTGGTGGGGTTGAGGGAGGGAGTTTCAGAAGGTAGGGGCTTAGTGGCTAAAGGCTCGGCCTCTGATGATGGGGCAGAGGAGAGGAGACGCAAAGCAGGCCCATGTACGTTGAGCTGAGTGGTGAGCAGAAACCAAGGGATTTGTTGACGAGTGCGGGAGATAAGGAGCCTGGTGGGGACAGGGGTGAATAACATGCAAACTTTCACGTGGATAAGAATGCAGGTGGTGGCATTATAATAAATAATAGTAATAATATTATTATGAATACGTTGTTGCTTTTGGATGCCAGGGTTGGGAGGCCAGTGAAAAGAGCATTTGAGACATTTGATTCTGGAGGTGACAAAGCCAGCATTAGGGATGAAATAGGGATGGAGGAGGGAAATATGACAAAGATACAGAAAAGCAATCTTGGTGAGACCGGATGTGAGGGAGGAAAGAATGCTGAGAATCAAGCTGAACCCATTTGGGTAAGCAACCAGCTTTAACACGTGTTCAACGATGACCGAAAGTACGAAATAATCCCAAGAGTCACCAGGCAATCATTTTCAAACTAAGTCACATTCAAGGGTACTAGTTTCGTACCTTTACAGAGGTCAAAATGTGGGTGCCACAGGAAAAGAGACTGATGACTAGGTTCACTACAGCATTGCAGAAAGTGTTCACTATGATGGTGCTAGGGGTAAGAATAATCACTGCCACACTGTGTGGACCAGCTGTGGTGAAAGGATTCATTGAGACAGCCTCAGCCATACTGACACCGACAGCACTGTACACGATGATACTCACTTTATCGTTGCTGATGGTGTAGGCTACGGCAATATTAAACGTAACCCAAGACAACGGTGCACTTTGCTAACAATGTCTGGTGGCAACGACTATAGAAAGGGTTGTAAGCATAATTAATTTCCCTCAGTCCCGAAGGACCCTGCCCTACCTTGCACACTCACAAAATCCCCAAATCCCAAGATTGGGCTGGATGAAGAAAGCTCTTCAGCTACATCCAATGTCATCCTACGTTCCCCACATCACTGCATCAAGCTGCGTTTTAAATGATTATTATGCCCTGGCCTCCACCACCTTTCCTGGCAACCTGTTACAGTCACTGACTGCCCTCTATGTAAAGAAAAACTTCCTAGTCTCTGCCTGAAATTGACTCTTGACAACTCTAAACCTGTGTTCTTTTGTTCTTCTGTCATGATACCACTTGAAGTATTGATCGGGGTTTACTTTTTCGATCCCCTTTAAGATTCTATCCACCTCTACGAGGTCCCCTCTGAATCATCTTCTTTCAAGTGTGAACAATTCTAGCTTTTCTAGTCATTGCTCAAAGCTCATTCCTCTAACAGTGGGGATGATCCTGGTTGATTGCTCTTCTCTGCGTCTCGTCTTGGAGCTAGACAGCCCGCTTGTGCCGCTGTGACCAGAACTGTATGCAGTATTCAAGGTGCAGTCCGACCATAGCACTGCACAGCCCGAGAATGATGTCTGGGGATCTATACTGATCTCATTTAGCAATATAGCCCAGCATCCTGTTTGCTAATCAGCAAATGGTATC